TAGTGCGTTTGAATGCGATGTGGCCTATACAATGACTTGCGGGGGCCAGCCGATGTACAAGTCAGTGTTTTTATCCTCCCAGACAAGTCTGGTACCAATTAACCGACCCCGGAGGGATGGAAGGCTTGGTTGGCCCGGGCGACTCACGACCCAGGATTTGATCCCCGGACCGCTCGCGTGGTAAGCGTGCCACTTGCCACTACACCACTTCCGCCCCAATGATAATTTGTTAATTTTAGCTCGAAATTGGGTTAAATTACAGTAGTCGCTATTTTTCATGGCCCTCTTCGCTTTGTACCCAAATATTCTAGAGTGCTCATTTAAATGAGCACTCCACAATATTTGGGTATCAATAGTTTGTGAATCGATCCACCGAAAAATGTTACGGCTGGAAAAGTCTCTCATCTAATGCTGTGATCGTTTCTGTGTACATAGACAGAATGACGGAAAAGTAAGGCGTTTTCATCTGCGCGTTCCCCTTGTTTCGCTTCGTGTGAGCGACTTTTTGAGTTATCTCACTTTAAAGCTAATTTATTCTGACGTTATGTCGCTAGTCAATGTGCGACTAGATCTATTCCGCCTTGAAATGATCCAGAGACCTATACAATGGGTAGAGAGTGCTGGCTTGTTCGTCATCTAGAAGTTCCGGTTCGAAGTGTTTACACCACCGCAAATCGGTGAAAAACTGCAGACAGCGTTGAACTAAAGAAGGAATCTGGCTGACCAACACCAATAGAACAGAAACAGAAAGATGACCACCGGATGACGTCACCTTATGTGAATCCGTTCACAACAAGTTTGGAGGTCGCTCGCGAAGGTGTACAAAACTTAGTATATGGCTCCTCAAAACTGTAGTAGTTTCTCCAGAGACCGGGCGCGAGGGCATGCCTCTAGCGGCCCAAGGAAGCCGTACTCGCGTCGCTTATGCCGCTGCACTTGGGTTGCTGCTCGTCGTCTGACTCTAGCCATCTAGCAGAGAAAGCGTTAACGTTGATGAAGACGACCGGTTGAAGTCACATCAATGCGGAAATCGACGGGCAAAGAAGAGCTTTCTTTTCTTGGATATGAAGCCGCTTCTCTTGGTTTTTGGTTAGTTCTTACATCAGTAACCACCGCTCCTTCATTTTTGATTGGCTCCCCTTTTAACGTGGACTTCGCCTTCAACTGTACTGAACTCTTACATGTGAGCGAGCTCGACGGTTGGGGCGAGGTTTGAGCATTCTCTTCCCTGATGTTCATCGGAGCGAAATTGCCTCTCAAGAACCATTGGAAAAGAGAAAAAATCTCTACAAATATAATCAATTTCTGGTTTCTGGTCAATTTGGAAATGGACATTCTGCGGTACACTGCTCATCCTGTCATAATAATCAAGGGCCACCATACCACCGAAGATGGAACGTTCAACCAGGAATATGCGAAGCTACAAGCCATAGCCTATTGATATTCTGCTCACGTTAGCACTTGTGGTCCTTTTATAAGTTACAATGATGTAATTGCTTGAAAAGGTGCGCACGCGAAATGGCATCTTTGCACTCGGTTCACTTTTCTGCCAGTCTCTAATGACATGCGTATCATAGGTCCACGCTGCTCTCCTTTTTATGACGCGGACAGTATATAAGATTCAATCAAACAACTACTCTCACCTGATGAAGACGAAGCAATGCCGATCAGGAAGAAAACAAGAATTAATGACATGTAGACTACCAAATATTGAGCTTGCCCAGTGTGGCTTGCAAAATATGCGTCTGAAAAAGCTATTTCAAAGGTGATTAAAATGGATATCGTTGCCTAAAAAACTGCGTGAACGATGTGTAAATGAGGCAACCGGAGAGAGTGGCAGCGTTGAGTCGAACAAAAAACTTGTCTGAATTGCATGACAAAAGGGAAGAGATCCGTACATTCCGAAATACATGAAAACTATCGCTCAAGTCTACCGTAACGAAATTTCGAATTGTAAGCAAATGGAAGCAGGATCAAGCCCCAAACGACCACACCTCCTGGCAAAGAACAAGGAAGAAGCTGCTGATCGAACACATCTGAAATCTCGTAATTGGAATGAATAAACAGAATAAATTCTCATCTTCTCTTCTTCGCAACTATGACTTTGATTTACTACATACGATTATCTTTGACCCTTCGAAGCTTATCTTATTGATCTGGTTTGAAACAACGGGTTAACAGGGACTTGTGCCGATATCACAAATTTTAACGACCCCGCTCACCCCATCAGCTTTGGGAGGGCTCAGGTCCACCACATAACCCTTCACCATCCTCGATTTCCTTCACCACCACTCAAGCTATTCCATTAGTTTTCTTCCAATACTCTGAGATTCTGCAAAGGAAGTAAGGTGTTCTGAGAGATCGGAAAAGATAGTCGCCTTCGAACTTCGGACTTGGGGAAAACGATCGCGAAACTCACAGGGTGAGGATATCTTGTACTAATTTTGCACATGATGGGGGCATTGACTTGCTAGGGATAACTGTGATGAATAGTAAACAGGATTGTTTTTCCCACCTAAAGCAGCGTTTTTTTTATTCATACAAGGCTGCTTAGGGGAGCAGGAATGCCAGCCGAATTTTGAAAAAGAGGTGAAACGCCGCAAGCGCAAAACGGCAGGGATAAAGGGATGGATGTGGTAATAATCATTCATAGTAGAAGTGAATGCAGTAGGAGAATGCACGAAAAAGAAGAATTAGAGTGGCAGTGACGTGAATATGGACCAAAAAAACCAAAATATGGACCCGTGACAGGAATATGGACTAAAATAAGATCATATGAGAGAGAAGGACTAGGGCTGCCCTCAGCAGAAGCAACAACAAAAAAAAGCCGTCGCAGTGAGTGAACAAGCAGTTCTTGCTTTGTTCCAGTTGAGGTATTTACATGCAGATGGCAATAGCTTGAGCTAAGAAAATGCATTATTAAAGGCATGCCTCAGAACTGGTGCGCTTACTGCCGGCCCATTTCACACCACTACGAAACCATGGCTGTGAAATGAGCTTGAGCCGGGAGTAAAGAAAAAAAGGAAAGAATTCATCGAAAACGCTCAGGTTGAGGGCTTGCTCCCCAGTTGCGCTAAGGCACTGTAAGAATGGGCGCAGAGAGGAGAATATGAGTGAGAGGACAAACAAAAGCCCACAAAAACAAGTGAGAAGGGTGCCTGACAGATTCGCTAGGGAAGGAAGAGTAGTGCAGCGATGTGGCAACTTTGCAGGCCGGAGGCGCTTGTCGCGACGACGCCCTGTACTTAGTGCCGAATCTGTGGTTTTCCTCTAGTGCTCCATTTTAGAGACCTTAGACGAAGGATTAAACACGACTTTGCCTGGTGTGCCTTAACCATAGGGATTATTGTGATTAGTGGTAAAAATCTCTCCTTCAGTGCAAACTTTTCCTGTGTGAAACAAGAACATTATCACGTGCTGAGTGCATTCGAGGACGAAAAAGAATGGAACACATGCGGAATTAGTATTTCTTAAAGTAAATGTAATCAATAAAAATCAGCATCCCCATTAGAGCACTCCAAACCTGAAAAAAAATTCAATACCTTCGCAGAGATCGGATTACATATATGACAGTCATTTTTAGCGACAGCTTTGGCGACCATTTCTGCGCGTCTCTCTCTTACTGATCACATCACGTTTTGACCTTAGCCTGGAGAATAGAGGGGCTTCAGGTGAGTCTTCCACCGTGGGGTGAACCGTCATTGACATCGCAACAACCCCTATCGTATTCGAGGCAAAAGGGCTCTAGCTGAGGCGCACGTAGGCCTAAACTAAGGAAAACCGCACTGCCCCCGACACACGCCCCCTGATACATTCATTCATCGCAATACAGTTATGGGTATCGCTAAATTTTCATTTTTAAGTGCATTTCGTATCAAACCGCTTTTTGTGATCCTGTCACCATTTTATTCGATTCGGGCACACTTACCAAGCGGTCCTGTTTCAATGTCGTAAACTCGTCCAAAGAAGGGGGCGGGGAGGAGGGGTCCCAATCCTTGAACTTTCAGCGATTTCTCCTGATTTCTTCCAATGCCGCACAATTTGTCATCTTTACTTGCATTTTTGACCAAGCTCAAATGATCGCACTCACTGCCTATACGATTGTGAAGACTTGAGAGTCACTCTTCAAACCGCCAAACGCCTCTTCTGCCTTGCGTGTCTGACGCAACGTTGAAATCTCGAAAACTCAAACGAAACGAACGTCAAAGTGAATTAGCTAATAGGAGTGCCAGAAGCAGAAAACTAGTGGAATTCTCAACGAGATCCTCTGAATGAAGCTTATCAGGTTCTATGAAGAGGAATTCACAGCAAGGAAAAGCTGATGATTTCGCGAAAGAGAGGAGTTCATAGTGGTCGGATAAAGCAACACAGTGAAACAATGTTTCGAAGACATGTATATAAAGAATGTAAACATAGACGAAGGACAAGCAGGCAAAGATGAAATCAATGAAAGAGAGCTGCAAATCACAATATAATAGCAGGATTGCATTTAACAAAGCACTATAGATAGAAAGTAACATCGAAGAGGGGAGAAAGATTCTACAGAGGAAGTAATGTCGTTCCCAAATGAATTGGAAAGGGTGAATCATCTTTGTAGCTGACCTTGACTATGCGTAATGGAAAAAATGATAAAGCGTGGATATCTACTACGAGGGTGAAATTTGTTGAAAATATAGTCTCAAAAAAGCGATGGATCTATCTCTGTCATAGAAACTCCAAGTGGTAGCTGTTATAGAACAGTTCATAACATTGCCAAAGCAAAGCTAACAGCTCGGAATGAGTTTCATCTGTCATGTTACCGTTTGGTCAAGTAGTCGGAACACCCATACTGGTATCCAGCGGCCAGTTTTGAACTCGGCTTTGATTGGTATGTCAACAAACAATATTTGCATAATACGGTATCACTCGCCAGACACCCTTTTCGCCAAAATTGGCTCGGACTGAACATAATGATCTATGTGGAGAAGTGATAGAAATGACAGAAGAGGTTCCATGTCCTTTCATCTCGGAAGTTATTGTTCGTTATCACATGAATCCTGAGTTGTTGGCAAAACTTTTGCCTCAGCCAGGATTCGTACCCGGATCTCTTGCGTTTCCGTCAATTGTGAATAGAATAATTAGACTTTCGCAATGCGAACTGCGGCGTAGAACGGAGATTATCCAAGACAAAGTTGTTGTTATTTGTGTTTTTGTACTTCTGCCACGAGGCTGTTAGGTGGAGGAATTTACTGCGGCCAACGTTCCGACCGTCCCGTCGTTTTCCATTTCTCAAAGCTAAGAATTGCGCG